GCAGTGTGTTACAGTCTGCATTTGCCAGTGCTGAGACCCTGACACTGAAAGCAAGCAACTGTCTAGTGTAAAAAACCAGAAGCAAGTCTATCCAATAGTCATATATCCCTGGCAGCTGAGTGTCTCTTAAACTTTGGATGGAAGCCTATCAGGAGGTTGAAGTTAAATGCTTTGCAGAGAAGTGACCTAAATAAAACCACAATCCATGCATGCTGATGAAAGTACAGTTCTCCGCACTGCCAAACACATTTGTGCCTCACCCCATCAAGTACTCTTTTTTCCTCCCAAAACCAATATTGCATTTTAATGTTACTGGCAAAATTGCTTCTAGATGTTAAGCTGAATTTTCAATCATCTTGAAAATACAGTTGGCAAAAATGTTCATCTTCAGTGAAAGAGTATTTGAGATACATTTGGTTTTCCTTTAGTGGCTTTTGCATGCAATAACAGGAAATAAAATTCCTTAGGTCTTTACTTGCTCTGTGGGCTGAACCGTGTAGGGGATAGAGATGAACAAGGCTGACTAATTCTTGCTTTGGTACCTTTCTCTTCTCCCCTATCCCATTTTAAAAGAGAGAGAGAAAGAAAATAGCATGCAATGAAGCAGACGACCAACAATTCAGGGCATTTAAGCAGAGCAGTTTCTGAACAACTCTCTGGCAATTTTCAGTTTGATTTTATTTCAGAGATCTCAAATGAGAACATTGTTACACTACCCGCAGGAGCCAGCGTAAGAGACTCCAGTAATGAGGTAATCATGATGCTATGGGCACTTCAAGCCTTACAGTCCAACCCCTGTGGTTGAAATGGAGCTCAGGTTATAGCAGTGTGATGCTGCAGGAAAGGAACACCCAGCTGCCCTCTGAGGAGAAAGTTGTGTTGGTCCTACCCACTGGATAATAGCCACGGAGGGAGTAGATGACACACGGATTAGGAAGCAAGGAAAGTTGAAGGAGCACAGTGCAAATATAAGCTGGAATGGCAATAAAGGAAATTTGTCCTTCTTTGGCTGCTTGGGAAAATGGGGGAGCTTATTGAAGGGTTTCTTACAACTGGTGATTAACCTAAGAATCAAAAATAACTGTTTCTGTATTAGCTGTGTGCTTGTTGGTTGAAGTGGGGGAGGAGAGTATTCTCCATGTGTATGTCAAGCACAGGACAACAGGCATTAGTTAACAAGGCTGCAGAAAGGGCAGGTTCAGTTTTGGAAGGTATGAGATGAAATACTTGCACCAGAAAGAGGGGGATAAATGCCACTGTACAAGTTGCTGGTTAGGTGATCAGGCTCATCTCACAGGGGAAGTGGTGTGTCTACTTTAGCAGATGAAGGGGGTAAAAGCGAGTTACCATCTATGAGTATATTAAGAAGAGAAACAGCAGGGAGGGGTAAGAGCCAAGGCAAGGTTAGCATTAGCAGGAGTAAACTGTTCATGAGTAAAATGTTGTCTGGAAGTTGGAAGAAGGTTCCTAGGGATCAGAGGGACAACTGTCTGGAATAACTCCAAACATAAGGGTTGGGAGAGGGAAAACCCCTAAGTAGTTTAAAGAGGGAGCTTTCCACTTAAAGAGAAGGCACTGTGTAATGTGCTGAGCTGAAATAGCCAGGGACTGGGGTGGCTGAAAGTCCCTTCCAGTCTTGTGTGTCCTGATCTCTTCAGTGAGGCCTCACAGGCCCATGTTGCTCTGATTTCCCACCACTGTCTGAGAGACAAGCTGCAGCTTTCTCACCGGGTCACTGCTGTAACTACTGCACAGAAGCCATAGAAATGTCATTGCCTTCTGCTGCCACTGGATTTTGTTGTCCAAGGGGATTCCACTGGCAGCTGGGACACTTGCAAGCCAAGACACTACTGGCTGTAGATGACCAGGGCAGCCCCCAAGAGAGTGGGCAGCAACAAGAATCAGATTAGCCTGAAAACACCAACAGAGCAGGAAAAGCTGAAGTGGGGTGTGAGACCTTTCTTTCCCAAACCCGTTTTATTACAGCAAGTCCTAGAATGGAGGGCTGAATTCAGCCGTTACACAAAGTAGCAATTATTCTCAACAATTGGGGAACTTACGGCCTGGATCTAAGCCATGATGCCTTTCTCATGAAACCAGCAGGTCAGTGTTTCCAAGACCCTTGACATTCTGTGTTGTGAGGCACAGGAGGATGTATTCTTTAAATAGGGGTTTTTTGCATACTGTGGTATTTGGAAATATGTAAACATTCGCATTCCTTATTTATTCATCCTGACACTGAGAAACTCGTGTCTAGTTCCCAGGCTCCCGGCCAGAGGAGGCTTGTGTTCCTCACAAAGGTGGTGGTACAGCACCAACCCGCTGGTGCAAGGGTAAAGACTGATCCTGACCCACGCTTTCTGATCGGTGGTGTGCTATCAGTGCCATTATTACTTGCTTGTCACTATAGCAGGGACTACCATGGTAAAACATCAACTCATTAAGCAAAGATAAAAACCATCATAGCCAGGCTGAATCTCTGTCCAGCTCAGTAGCCCATCTCCCACAGTGGCTGTGAGTGAACGCTCAGGTAGAACAAGAGGATATTTCCCTATATATCTGTTTCCAGCCTAGGGACCACTTGATCTGAGTGTGTTTTCTGTGTGTTTACTAACTCAGTGGATTCCTTTTCCCAGTCCCACTTGAGCTCATGTGTACTTTAAGCAACTAAAGCATCCTTTGTCCAGCAGTTCACAGCTTACAGACATACAGTGAGGAGAAATACCATCTGTTTTCAAATTTGGCTCTTACTACTTCCTGCCCCTGCCTAGTCTTTGTGCTGGAAGAAGCAGTGAGCCATCTAACCCTCCCTACCCTCTCTGCCTTTCTCATGATTTTGTAGCCTTCTTCCTGCATCCTCCTTCAGTCATCTCTTTTCCAGACAGAAGAGCCGGGTGTACTCAGTTGTTCCCCAGACAGAAGACATTCCATATCCTGCTGCCTTTCCCTCAAACATTTTCAAGTTCACTAAATCTTTTGTGCATGGGAAAAGAAAATATATTCTGTAGAGAAACCACATCTAAATAACCTGTTTCTAAATAATAGCAGGTTCTTAACTGACCGTGGTCTACTATCTTAGCCTTTGCAACTGTCTTTAGTTTGAAAGGGATTAGGTTGTTGCACATACCCTGCAACTGCAAAATCAATGGCATAGCTAAGCTTTTTAGTCCAAAGCCCAGAATGATTTGCAGACACTGGTAATAGCTCTGTGTTAGGTATGCTTTGGTGAGCAACGGTGAGAAATCATTTGAGCTCATTTCTGTGCAAGTTTCGTGGAAACACACGTTTGCTTCAGTGTCAGAGATGTATTTGGTTAGTGAGAATGTGTAGATTTCAGTGTGGCAGGATGGGACCAGGGTATGGGTCTGCGTGGGAATTGGGAGAAAGGTGTATGGAGACACAGCCTAGGCTGAACAAGAAACCCTCCAACCTCAGGAAGGTATTTTTTTGCTCACTTTTGATCACTTGGTTGAGTCTTCACCTTGTACTGGTAACATTCTTGCTTCACCTGTGTCAGTGACTTGTTTTGTAGTGTTCAGCAGTTCATTCATTTCTGTCTGTTCTTCCTTCTTTAATACTGGATTATTACCTGGCTGCTTTCTTGCTCAGATGTTATGCCTAGTTGTTACTTCCAGGATTTGTTGAAGTTGTAATTGTTATAAATGGCAGGTTTTAATCAACTGGTTTGTAATACAACAAAGCCCTATGCAGGTAGTGCTCAGTCTCTAGCATGGTTTTCAGTCTTCCCAAGATAACTATTCTAGTTAATATATATCAGAAATCCTTTTCATTGCACATTCTTTGGATACCAAAGTGGCTAATTCAAGAGTGCAAACAAATGGGTATTTATTTTAAGTTTGGAAACAATGTTTGAACAAGTGCACGTGCATTTTCAGCATTCTTTTTCATTTTAAAACCAGGACATTTTTTGCTATTTATAGTGAACACAGAACCTGTGTTTCATTCATTGGCAAAACTTATAGTGACCGCACCAGATCAGGATCTGCTCTGTGAATTTCATTCTGAAGGGGCAGGAACAAAGTTAGACAACCCTTTTCCACTTTGAGTCTCAGTTCTAGGTCTGTTAATGGAATGATGAAACAGACTTAACCCCCATTATGTTCTAAGGTGGGTTTGTCCTTGTTTCCCCGGGCAAAGGAACAGTGTCAGGATAAATGGGAGTTAGCACAGAAAACACTTTTTCCTATTTAGGAATGAAGTGAGCTTGCTTGTTTAAACAGATTTTTATGCAGATACTTGATGTATTGCTGTAGAGATCAGTGGAGTTTTGATTTCTCTCAGAGTAGACAATAAATCCATTGTTTTTACTGACACTTCTTCCATCTATGGATGTATTTACTACTGTGTAAGTACAATATATACAGGATATCGCTGTTTACTTCTACTCTTCTTTTGCTTACTATGAGAGAAAGAAAAAAATCCTCTGTCATACATAAAATAATATCCACAATAAGGAGACAAAGGATCTTTGACCACATTTAATGTCTGTCTTTCTCTCTGTTATTTTAAGTTAATACAGCTTTGCTACACTACAGTATGTTACAGAAATTGCTGTGGTGTAAAACTGGGCTCAGCAGAAATAGATTTTTCTCTGCCTTCAGATAGATTATTTTACTTTGTGAGTAAGAAAACCAGGAAGAGTTTTGCAGAGGGCCATATAATTGACTTTCAGCAAACCAGTTATGGGGTTTGTTTCACTTTCAGGTTAAGCAAAAGTCATCTAAGCACCAAATACATGTTGGGGTATATAAATTCCTTCCAAACAGTAATCCCTTGCACACCGTGGTTCTTACTGACCGTACCAGATGTGCCTAATCTGGTTTTGAGGCATAATGCACCTTCTTATAGTTTGAGTAAAGAGAAACTACTCGTTAGACTTGCTGGTAAAGATCAGCACATGTTTCAGGTATCTTGACTGCTGGTTTTCTCAGCTGGTATTATGGACACAGCATCAAAATCTTGTTGAGGAGTTCCGTAAATGGGACATATATGTCAAGTTTTGTGCACAAGTGCTAAAATAATCCAGTCCATCCATTCTGTCCTCCCCACCTGTGTTGGCAATGACTTTTTACAACTACATAGCTTGATTGCTCCACCTCCATACTTTGTCTGCAGTCTTGGAGATAGATACATAGGAAACAAGCAAATAAGTTTGGGTAGTGTGACTCCAGGCAACTAAGTGCTTTTGTGGTACCTGTGTTCATTAACAAAAATTAGGGTAGAGAACTCTGGTGGTTTAAAATAGATTGGATAAAGGTGGGCTCAGAAAAGTATTTAGTCACTATTCCAGCATTTTCTAATGGTGGAGATGATGCAGGAAAACTATTTGAAGTTAGAAGCATAGTTATTATAGTCACCTAAAACAAAACTGCCATGTTTTACAAAATAATTTTATATTCATAAAGTCTGTATTTCCAAATAGAGTTTAAGGCTTTGCATTGTGCTTAAGTAAAAATCTAGTTTCTAAGAGTCTTTCCTTTCTCACTGCATCTTCTCTCATTTCAGCATGCATACACAACTACAGCTATAAACGGGACCAATTTTTGTACATCAGCAAAGGATGCTGTCTTTGTTTTGGCAAGGAACTCTGCTAAACTTGCATCCATTAGCTGTTTTGGAGATTTTATCCTCTTTCTAGGAAAGGTAAGAGTAAGAAAAGTACTGTTCTGTAAGAATGAAGTGAAAAACCAGGGTCTGAGTCTCTTTTCTTATACCTAAAGTAAATAAGGCTTATCTTTGTTAAACTGAGTGTTGTAAAGGCTGTAAAATGAGTTCAGGAGAGAAGATAATGTCTGAGGAATTTGATCCTTTTCATAGTTTCTGCAGAGTGATTTAGTTGTATCGGTATCCTTGGTGCCACTCCTACAGTTCTCATTAAAAGGAGTCTTTGGTAATTACATAGTAAAAGATTGCCTCTGCCCTGTGGAATTGAATGTGGAAATGAACACGAAGTGTGACAACTACAGGATGCCAGAAACTGCAGAGCTATTTCCCAGATGAGATGTGCTGTCAAAATACTGGTTCGGGGTATTTGGGAGGGTTTGGGGGATTGTTGTTTTTTAAGAAGCATTTCTCCAGGACTAATGAGGCTGCATTTCTCTCTCACTGCCCTTCACAGGTGTTTGTTGTATGTTTTACTGTTTTTGGAGGATTGATGGCATTTAACTACCATCGGGAGTTGCAAGCATGGGTAGTTCCTCTGTTGCTGGTTGGATTTCTTGCCTACCTGATGTCCCACAGCTTTCTGTCTGTGTTTGAAGTGACAGCAGATGCCATCTTCCTTTGCTTTGCTATTGATATGGAAACAAATGATGGATCTGCAGAAAGGCCGTACTTTGTGGATCAGGAACTGCTGGTAAACCCCAGTGATAACAGGAAAGACATTTGAGCCATTCTAAGCTTTTGAGGACTTCTTCTTTCCCCAGGACCTAGTAGTTTGAACCCACAACCCACGCTATTTCCTTTCCAACACCTTAGAACGGGATGGGCTCAGGGATACAAATCATATGTGAATTTATAAAGTGAAGTAAATGGCTCCCTCTGACTCCTGTGTGCTAGCTCTGATCTGCTGCCTTCTCTCAGATCATACCCTGTAAGTAATGGCTGATTTTTCAGGCCTTAGTAGATACATGTTCAATATATTACTGGTCATTAAAAAATATAAGGAACTAGATGAGCTGGCTGCAGAGATCAGTCCCTGGGGGGCTTTAAGATTAGATGTTTATGTTTGTTGTGACTTACTGTAGCTGCTTGTTGCCAGCAGCAGGTCAGGGGTCCGTCCACATCCTATGGATGCTGTAGTTCTGAGCAGACTTCACGCAAGCTCGAGTTGCTCTGCTTCACAGCTATACAGAATCCTTTGCCAGAACAGCCTTCTGTCTCTTGATTAAATTCTTCTGCCTCTGGATTTGATTGTTCTCTGTCTTTACCCTCGTAATTATTCTATTGTATTACAAGCACTTTCATGTGTAATCATTACATAGTTAAGAGCGATGGAGAGCTTTAGCTAGTATCTGCATCATTTGAATATATATGTGCCATCCCTTTCATATTAAGAGAGTATCTAAAGATGCAGATGTTTTTTCCTTTCATCCTATTTTTGCCAGTTCTGTCTTTTCCTTCATAAAGAAAGATGATCTTAGTGATTCATGACAAACAAACTCAGCAGCCAGAATAGCTTATATGGTACGAATGTTCTGGATGGATTTCTTCAGGACAGCGTTGGAAGAACTGTTCTGTGGTTTTTTGAATGCTGCTGTTGGACTCCCTATAATGGTCATAGAATTTTGTTGAAAACAACAAAAAGGCAGCCTAAAGATAGGCTTAACCCTTTGTAAAGAACAAAGCAGATAGATGTGCTTTGGCTTTGATTCAGAACAGTACTTAAGCACATATCCCAAATAGGAATATGTTACTGAATGGAAAACTCTGAAGCCTTGACCTCTATTCTTCTCCCCCTGTTTTGCCAAATGCTAAAATACTTCTTAAGCCAATTCTCCTTCATGAAACAAACAGAGGCTTTCCTTTCTTCACTTCCAAACTTTATGGCAGTTCTTTTTGACTCCGGTCATAATTCCTTATAATTAGCCATGCCCTAGGGCCTCTGGTGAAGAAGGGATTTCCCACAGGGGTAAGGAGTCTTCCAGGCAGAATAGGCTGTGTAACCTTGTATGGAAAAACTGGGGGCAGCACATCCAAACTCCTCCTTATTGCATGATCAAGAGTAAGTTTGCTCATATAGCCAAGAACTTGGAGTTTCCCAATGCATGAAGGCATTTGACTTGGGTCATCTGTGTTACAACTGGGTTAGAAACATCTGGGGATGGGAGACTCTGTGGCCCTCAGGACAATATGTGGCAGTGGCAGAGAGCCAGGTGAGGGATTTCTGACAGCCAGAGCCCTCATTCCTGTAACAGGAGATGTAACAGAGTCTTGCCTAATCCTCCTCAGTTGCATTCATCACCCCTGTTGCCTCTGCAGAGTCCCTCCCGGTATCGCTCAGTGTCATCCAGCTGGGAACCAGCTACAGTTTCTTAGCCTGGGGCTAATTATCTTCCTTGATCAGGTATTTTTATTTACATAATGGTTTACATTCCCAAATGATCTCACCCTGTTTTTTGCTCGTAGACCTTTGTGAGTCAGAGTAACAAGTTAACAGAAGGGCAAAAGCACAGAAGCGTAAGACCTTTCCAGGATAATGAAGATGGGACAGAGCTCCAACCTATGGTGAGTGTGGGATATGCATTTACCTGCCAGCTAATGTGTTTGCCTTTACGTCCCAAGAAGAATGGGTGTAGGCTGTCCTGTACCTCCCAATGTCTCACCACACCCACGTGTTGTACCCAGTATCCTGGTTTTCCTTCTGTTGCTTTCCTTCCTCGGGAAACCTCCTCGTGCAAAAAGGATGGATCAAGTATTTGTTCTCATCCTTCCGCCCATTTCCCAGTGTGCCCAGCAGAGGAAGAGAAAGATCAGACAATGGCAAGGGGGTGGGAGATAAGTGCTGTTCTGGTAGTCCTTCACACGTCTGCTGTAGCAAAGTCAGAAGAGCAGAGGGCTGCTTGATTTCATGCTACAACTGCTCAAGTTCCAGAGCTGTAAGAGCAGAGCTTAGAGGCCTTCCCTCTCCACCCCCACCCCTTTTGTTTGTTTTTCTTTTTCTTTCCTCTTTCTTCTTTCCTTTCCTTTTCTTTCTTTTCCTTTCCATCAGTGTGTTTATTTATTTACTCTGGTTTATGCTGGGATGAAAAAGCTGAGGTGCCAGAAGGGAGTGTTCCCCACACCCAGGCTTGGGAAAGTCCTGAGAGCACAGGCTCACTAACTGACATCTGAAAAACTACTGCAAATTGCCCAACCTGAGAAGCTGCTCCAGCAGGTTCAGGATCTGGGCTGGTTTTCCCCCAGCATCAGGGTGGCCGAGCCAGGGCTGTGGGAGAAAGGTTCTGCAGCAACAGCTACTCTGGCACCTGCACTTGCTGGACACTGCCACCGGTGTCTTCTGCCCCCCTCGCTGCTCCTTACACCAGTGTCACACACGCTGGTGATGTTTCTTGACCTGTTGTCAAGAAGTACCAGGCTCTAGCAAACTCATACAATCTTGTGGGCATTTTGCTATAGGCAGATGGTTTATTCCTGCAGTGAGGTATAGTTGTGCTTGATTTTTTCATTGTTTGGGTCTCTTACTGCATTCTTCAGTAATTTTTTGCCAAGCAAAGAAACCAGGGGGGTGGGGAGCCATTCCCTGCGAGAGGATTGTGGATTTGAGACACAAAAGAACCTTAATTGTTTTCCCAGTCTACTCTTATGACATTTAAATGCAGTAACAGGACCAGTGCTACACATGATTTGACTCCTTTTTCTCTCTTTACAGACTTGAATGTGAAGTGCACCAAGAAGTACAGCAGCAGACCAGCAACAGCAAAACCAATCAGAGCAAAAAAGGTTCCCAATACCCCAGGACAAAGCATTAGTTCCCTAAATCTCTGTTGTATCTTCTTCATCAGTAAAGTAAGTGACACACAATCTGTATGAATAAAGCATTTTGTGTGTCAGCACATCTATGTTTATCCATATACTTCCATGATGGTCTGAAAGTTGTTAACAAACAAACTCTCATGGAGTATTTTCATGCTCCTCTGGGAACACTGGGCCAGTTGTTCCTGGATCAGTAAATGTAGAAATGTTTGTAGAAGAGGCTCTGGGAGCTGACTGCTTCCTGATTTACTCTGCATGTCTGAACAGCCAGTGCAACTAAGTAAGGAGCAGTGCTGAGCTCATCGATGGAAATGACCATTGATAGGAACTCTCTGTAGGCAAGATAATTAATGGCTATGAGGTAGGTGTCTTTCTTTGAATTATACTCTTTTGGGAGTGTTTTTTACAAGTTAGTATCATAAACTACCCGCTGGCTCCTCTCCAAAGGGCAGTTGTAGATTAACAACTCTTCCCTTTGCAACTGAGAAGATGAAGCCAAAAAAAACTTGTATCCGGATTTAAAGCTTGACAAAGTAGCAGATGAGCAGTGGCTGGAGAGAGATGAGGTAAAAAGATGTAATATATAATCATTTCTAGAGCTGATAGCTATAACATGGATGTGAAATACACCATGAAGGCATGCAGTGAAGAGACTGTCAGGTTTCTAGTCAGAAGTGGGATGTGGAAGTCTTACAACAGAGCTTTGTTTGAACTTTGTACCTGGACCTTGGTTATAATATGCTCCCGTGGGCTCCACCTCACGCTGAGTGTGGGGTAGTTTTAGGTTTTATTCAGGGGCACCTGATTTCACTCTTCATTCAAACGCTCCTTTGACATTTCATTCGAGGAGAGGTTTGAGGTGGGGGAAGATGACTCCAAGCAGGGAGCTCAGTCAAGTACACGTCAATAGGCAGTGAGACATCACTGCAGGTAAGTGACTCAAGCTGCCAAAGTGAACAGATTGATAAAGTCTTCATTAGTCACAGCTTGGAAGTGATACATGGAAAAGCTCATTGATGGCCTGAATGACAAACCTGTTTCAGCTAAGTACTGTATCTGATTTCCTGCTGCTGAAAGGAGACTAGTTATGCACTAGGGAATGCTAACAAATACTTACTTTTTATTCTTCACTTGCTTAACTTTGGTCTACTTTAATACGAGCCACTTACTTAAAGAAGCTGAGGAATATGGGATAGATGATGAAAAGGGAAGGAAGTAGGTTAATTACTTTCTGTCTGGCAGGTAAAGCTGATCATCTACTGGCTGTGACTCACTCACTCATTATTTAAAGCTCTGCCCTTGGGTACTTCTGGCACTTGGCTTGCAGGTGCTGTGAGAGCTGACAATCACGCTGAACAAGCAATAGCTTGTGCAAGGAAGTGTGCACATATGGTACTCCCAGCAGAGCAATACTCCTCTGCCATAGGTCCCAGTAGGACTGGTTCCAAATAGTAGTGTCTCTACAATATATAAATCCAGTTTACCAGTTTACAGAGCAGGTTTGCTTGGAAGTTAAATCAGTTCTTACTACACATGGTTGGGGTTTTTGTCCTGTTTGTATTTGGATAGTTGCAGTGTGTGTTTTGGCCCTTGACTCAGGAAGTCTCTGGTAATTGGGATACAAGTACATTGCTTTTTAAAGAAGAAGGGTACTGGAAAGCCCCAATTAAGCTGTATTTGAGTGTGTTTCATTTAAGCAATGCTGTACACCCACAGTCCAGAAATGAAAGCTGTGACAATATGTTTTGGGAGTTACATAGAGAGGAGTTCTGAATATGTACCTTTTCATCAAATTTTGTACACAAGTACCTACATAACAAATGGGTGCAAGTTGTTTAAAGCATAAGTTTGGGATTCAGGAGGGCACGATTCAGGCTTTCAAAAAAGAGACTACTTTCACCCAAGCACTGCTTTTTGAAAGGGGGGAAATGGTATATTTCAGGAAGAGCAGGTCTGAACAGGCATCCTGGCAATAATTCTCTTGCCTCAAATGCAGGGCTTGGACCAGTGACCTCTAGGAGTCCTTTCCAATTTAAGTTCTGTGAAATAAATAAGCTTAAGACTTATTAAACAAATAGGTCAGTTCAAAGCCAGGTCACCACATCCCACCCAAAGATAACAGAAACTGATGGAACAAAGCACGAACAACTCTAGTCTTGAGGGAAGAATCCTCCTCAAGTCCAGAACTTGGTAATATAAAACATTGTGTATGTGAAAGTAAATTTAACCTGTACCTACTTTTAAAACACCTTTGACTGTTTTACAGAAGTTAGGATCAGGAACAGTGTCCCACACTCCTGTTAAACCCAGCTCAGGTTAGTACAGCCTGTTTGCACTCCACAGTGAGGAAGAAAGCATCTTCCACTTAGGAACAAAGCTCTGCTATTGGTAACTAAAGAACTCTGACTGCAGAGCAGCAGGCACAGAGATTGGGACATCTCTTTACACACTCTAAAGCAAGAGTGTCTTGAGTTCTCCAGGTGATGGTGTGAAGGCTACAAGCTGAATCAGAGGCAACATTAACTATGTGCAGTTCCTCATTTGCCTTAAGGAAAAGGCAGGGGTTTAGTGAGCAGTGAAGGATCTCTGGTCTGTAGAGGGGAAGTGAGCTCAGCTGTGAAGGAGCTACATTCCTTTCCTGTGGAGTCACTGTCACTCACTCCCAGGGGATTTTTACAAGGCTGTTACATTAAATCCTGTGGTGAAGAAAGAACCCAAACTGTGACAGGCAGCAGTTCTACATTAGCCTTCGCACAGGCAAAGGTGATGCTGATTTGGGAATAATTACTGTGGCATCTAATCTTTGAGAGCAGCAGCATTAACAAATGAGACAGGCTCTTCTACATACCTTTAAGAAAAAAATATTTATTTATAAAAATACACTGGGATCAGTTTGAGAAGTGTGGCAATAAATACAGTTCAAGGAAGAAAAAGCATTTCTACATGGATATATTATGGCACAATAAAAGGTAAGTGCACCATCAATCATGGGACTTTTGTTGGCTCAAGACTTTGTACAAGCTCCCTTTTTAGTAAGACAACTATTTCTAAGTTTGGTCAGTGTTGATAATGGAATGAATACACAATCACAAATGCACGCTTATGTCTAATGCAGGACTTACCATTAGCAAATAATACCTAAGAAACATAGTCATGATATTAAAATCACTAATGTGATGTCTTAGATTTAATTGGCAAAGACCACATTTAACTCTAAGCATGAAATTCTTCTCTCTCATCTGGAAAACAGAAAAGCTGTAAATATGTCAAACGAAGGCTTAACGTGGTACGTAAATACCTGCTCGAGTAGAGATTGTGTAAATGCATAGCTCCTCATCAGACAACCTGGCTGTACAAGAGCACTCCCCCTTTCACAGTATTCCTTTTACTTCATATGCAGTTACTGTTTATGCTGTAGCCTATAACTGTTACAGCACTAAAGGCAACTAGACAGGGAAAGGGCAGAGAAAGGAAAAAGGAATGTATGTAAGGCAGTATTTCTTCAGGTACATTAAGTATAGTGTGTAGGAAAGACAGGTAACAATTCCACAAGGCTAGTTTCGTTCTTACTGAATAAAATAATGGACTAATACTGAACTTCTGAGGCCAAGCTAATAATCAATGCCCTGGTCGCTGTACTGACCATGGTAATCTCTTTGATAGTCATCCTGGTACTCTCCGTGATAGTCATCTGGGTATTCTGCCTGGTAATCGCTATCGCTGATTTCTGAGCCGTTCGTTCCCGTTCCTTGGCTGCCGTTGTGAATGACAGGCTCTGTTGGTGCAGCACAGTACTTGGGGTCGTACACTTGCCGTCCAAGCCCATACACGCTCATTCCCTTCTGTGAAGCCACTTTGTTGGTACCCATTTGTAATGAAATAGTTGCGTTATCCACAGGTTGCAATATGTGCTTCTGGTCGTAGATGTCTCTCCTGGTACCTGGCGCCAGCATACCAGCCTAATAGAACAGGGTTGGGAGAGGTTCAGTCAGAAGGTCAAGAGGTGCAATTACTACATTGATGATTACAACTCGTACACCTTACTGGAAGCACTAGTGTTCACTCATACGTAAGTCACAGAGTAAAGTCTTTGCAGAAAGCTCCAGTTTATTTCCCTTTCGGAAAGGGCAGACTAAGTGTTTGGACTGGGGTAGCGCCCAGGAAGCAGTTTCTTTTTTGCCTCCATCTAGTCAGTACTTGAGATGAAGTTACTATTTTCTTGTGGTGTAACAGCCAGATGGGAATTCTAGAAGCACCAGGCTGGTTTTATGCTTCAAGATACTTGGCGCAGAGCACGCTTGTTAGTGATAAGAAATTCAAGTTCTTCAGTTACTGCATAAAAGCACAGCTCAACTGTTCCCTCTCGCTGCTGCCACACACAACTCACAACCCCTCCCATCCCACCGCACCCTCCCAGGCCGAGTGTTGTATCGGCTCTACAAGCGTGGCACACGGCCCTGCTTACCTGACTGGCTCCTTTGTTGGTGCCCATCTGTAGGCTAATTGTTGTCTGGTCAAAGGGCTTATCAGTTTGCATTTTTGGATCATACAGGTGTCTTCTAGTTCCATAAGCAGTCATGCCTGCCTGGCTGGCACACTTGTTGGTGCCCATCTTTAGTGGGGGAAGGAAGAGATGCGTTTTTATTTGTACAGCAAGCACAGTCTAAGGAAACAAATCTGGTTGGAAACTGATGGAAGAAGCAATTACAGTGCAGGCTTTCCTCGGGCAGCTTGACCACTACCTGTAATAAATTACCCTTTCTCCATACCGAGCTTCAAAAGCATAACCAAAGGCAACTCTCATCCCAAGGCATTTCAGTGACTGGCATTTGCCCAACTGCACTGCAATTACAACGGACGTATGCATCAAAGTGCAGTCACTGACTTTGCCCTTGGACAGCG